GTGAGGCCTCCTTTGGGACGTACTATAGGAGACATATGTCCCATAGGACCCTAAGAAACTAAATGATATTGTGAACAGGCAGATAACTAAAAAATGGAAACATAAGGATCCATGTAAATTATTAGTAACTGCCAACACGTTCATGTTGGACCAAGAGGAAAATGACATATCTTTACCTCAGTAGTAGATTCCAATGAATGCATGTAACTGAGCCTACAAAAACTGTATATTGGATTCTGGAATAAATATCGACCGTGATACTAGTAGCTGTTACCTTACCACTTAATATTTTGAACATGGCTGAACCAATAATTTATAAGATTGCTTAAAGTACTACTTTATTAAACTGGGATGTTTGATTCAAAACGGTCACATCATTCGGGAGAAATGTGCACTAGCAGATACGGATGCTTAATTTTTCGTTCAGATGTAGTTTCAAACAAATGTTAGATGTTAATCGAATCACATACCCGACGCTCACGTGCTTTTTCAGAGGAGTAATTCTATGGGGAAATAAACATTGAAACTCAAACCATCTATATATAAGTGTTCAGCGGGTATTTCAGTTTTCATTCTTTAATGTAGAAACTGGATTGTTACAGAAAATAAATCTGGAAGTACTTACAGCTGGGCCTTGTGTACAGGCTGTCAGGCGAAAACTTCTTACAACGCAGTTTCTAAATTCACGTGTAACATTGTGGATATACTTTATGTCACACTATATATAAATTACATAATATATCTTCTACAGGGCTTGACAAAAGTTCAAGTTCGCTTCTTCAGTTTTTTTAGACTTACAAGCCAAGATTAGGTTTCAGTTGATATCGTTACATTTTCATCCTTTTAGGAATACATTTTCTAGCTTAATTATAATTGTTAAGGTAATATATGGAAGCTGCTTGTCTTTTAATAAAACCAAAGATTTGGTAGCATTACACGTGTCAGTGTAAGAATTTGGGAAATGTACCAGTATTACGTCTTCATAACATCAAACTATGATGTCATAAGTACATCATTTATATAGCGTTGAGATTGGACCCGTCTGTAAAAAACTGTTTTGTTATTTATTGATGAATTATGTTCCTTTGTTGGCAAACAGCTGTCAATTTTTTTAGTCTTGTTTTGGATTACCAAGTATTTTAGCAGATATTAGAAATTAAACATTTTCATCGGGCAGTTGTTGTGCGAAATGGACATCGAATATTTGATTGAACATTTGAAACTATTACAAAAGCTTCAATTGTGGTCAGATTGAAACTGTTTTAACAGTTCATGTAATGAATTTATATTTTTATGCCTCCAGTTCTTCTTGACGAAATGGCCCCAAAATGTAATTTTTGGCAAGAATGCTCGCCTGGGGTGTTTTGGAACCAAAGTAACATGTCACAGAACAAAAAGGGAGGAAATTTATTTTTTGCTCTTAAATCCACGTGTTGCAATGCTTTTGACACCCCCATATTTGCCGTTATTATGTGTTCAGTATGTATGCATATATACAGTATTTATGCTGGTGTGATTAACATATAAATCATCAATTCATACTTCTCCCAGACATAATTTATTGGGTATCATTGACGAAAAAGGCTGCATTCCCACAGATTTAGATCGATCCATCTGGATCGACCTAACTCCCTGGGGGTACACGCTAAATTGCTGTCAGCCGAGCGTGCACGGAAGTTAATTACCCCCTTACAGCTATTAGTAGGTGGCACAGACATTTAAACTGGCTAAGCTGACAGTAATCTAGTGAGACTCCCCACAGGGATAGATCGATCTTAAATCTGTCGGAATGCAGTCTAAGAGACTATATATATATATATATATGCTGGAGAAACATTTTACTACAGTGAAAGCCTAGATTCATGGGGTAAAATATATGATTGTGCTGTCTCGAACTTAAAAGGTATCATGATTTAGACACTATCGGAGTCTCTGATAGAAGAGCACTGACAATTGAAATTATAATATCAATAGCAAATGATTGAATATTTTAAATAATGTTTTATTCAGGTGTGCGATGCAAGAATTGCAGTTTCGCTATCGCTTTGTTGGATCCGGTTTCCGCTGTTGCATACACCGTGTTGTTTGATACCGATTTGCAGACGTTACAATTAAGCATTTTTCTTGCACGTGTCTCTTAAGCCCAAAGGATTTGCGTGTCGTATTTCATTTTAAACTTCCATGTGCCATTTTCATATTTATTCATTTATTCATCTTCCCTGTTGTTTAATAGAATATTAATTCGTCCAATAATGGCAAAATCTGATTTTTTATACTTTAAATAATGTTTTTTAAAGAGACATCAAAACGTTAAGATGTATTGCTTAAATATCAAGGTTTTTGAAATTGCCAGCCAGTAGCCTGGTCATTTTTTATTAGCAGATGAAGTACCGAAACATTTCAGTGTAAATACTCTCAGTGCAGATTCAGTCCTCACAAACGAAATGCCAATCATGGTCTCGAACCCCTCGTTTTTGACTGCAACTCAAACCGCTATTACTTGTCGCGAACGCAAAAATATTTGTACAAACCCGCGGCCCGAGATCATAAACGACAATTATCGCTTATGAGGCCCGAAGTTTCAGACAATACAAAACTTTGTATTCTTTTACAGTCATGTTCAGCGAGTTCACGAGCCGCTCTACGGCATACACTATGGCTTAGGATTCCCGCATACAGTTCCATGAGTTCATCCTTTCATGATACAGCAGGCAAGGTTATACAAGGGCGGCACACTGCGCATGCACGAGTTATTTACAATTAACATTGATAAGTCGAAACCTACGACATGTAAAGCACAAGAACTAATATCGTTTGCTAAAATTTGTGTTAATCACAGAAAAAGTGTGGCTTTGAACGGTACTCATGTACACAAAGCATATCTTTCTCTAAAATTTTAATCAGAGGTTGAGACTCGAGCATACATAAGAGCAAAGCAACGCATCAACTTGACTGGAGGTGGCACCTTTTTTACTGTCAACAATTCTCATCACAGGGAATAGAAATAATCAATAATGTTAATCACTAATACAAAGCAAAATATTTTGAGTCAAAAATGCACCTAAGGGGTTCGATAAGGTATACTGACATTTTTTCGGGTTTCCCTTAAATGTATTAAAAAATTCTTATCTTAATATCAGTGAGTGAAAAAACACTTTTCGAGTAAAAATGCCATTTTTGTGTTTCTATTCACGTTCTGAATCCCTCTTTGTGCATGATGATAAAAATACAAAAAAAAAAAAAAAAAAAAAAAAAAAAAAAAAAAAAAAAAAAAAAAAAAAAAAGAAAGAAAGAAAAGGCAATTAATAGTAATAGAGCTTAGACCTCCGTCAAGACTGCTCAATTATCAATAACATAGCGTATACCTCCGCCAAGGCAGATTTCGAGTTAGGCTGTTAACTAAGACACTTATAATGGTAAAAACATAGCGGAGATGATTATGCAGAAAAATACTTCTAATATTTAGAGGAGTGCGTCCTGTCGCACAAACAGTAGATCTTGTCCTCGTGGTTGCACTTCTTTATACATTCCGGTTCGCTGAAATACCCCTCTAATATCTTTTAAAGCCTGACCGTAGTTCTTTGTGAGTTCATGAACTTCGACCGTCCACATATCGACCGTTATTTTATCCCACGGGAAAGCTTGGAGAA